TATAAGTAGGCAGGTTAGGCTGACCTTAAACTCACTATGTAGCCTAAACTTACCCAAGTCAGGGTCAACCTCTTTCCTCAGCCTGCAAATTGCTGGGATAACAGATGTACCCTGCCATGCCTGGTTAACACAGCAAATTTTAAACTTTCATCAGTTATGTGTGAGAAGTATAACTGGATTGTATCACAGCCAATACTTGATTTCATGTCTTAGTTTCAATTTTATAAATTCTAATCTGTATGTTTTAGTACATGCGTTTGTTTGCTTTCTTTGTTGATAATAAACTAGTGATATAGATTCACAATGTTATTCTTCACTTATTTATCTTTTTTTGAAGTGTCTGGTTAATTTGTTTTACCCATTTTTATTGAATGTTTGAATTCTTATTATTGAATTGTATATAAATATTTATCCTGGGTGCACTGCATTCCTAAGGGCAACACCTCTCTCACATATGAGTTCTGCAGATATTTTATCCCAATTTATGACTTGCTTAGCATATTCTCAAAATGTTACCATTTGATGAAAACATGTATTTAATTTTGACCTCAATTTATCTTGTTTAAATTATGTATGCATTCCTCTGAAAAATCCTTTACATAATTCAGTTACCAAACTATTTTTCTACATTGTCCTCTAAAAATTTTTACATTTTTAGGTTATACAGTTAGGCATATGATTCATTTTGAGCACTTTTTTGTAGCACTGTAGCATTGTTTTTGTAGCATTGTTCACTTTTAAGAGTACTCAGGTGGAGGTTTTCTATGTTGTCCATATATGTGCTCCTAATTACTGATAAAGATGAATTGTAATGAGTTTTTGTTATAGCAAGATAGCAAGCCTATTTAATATTAAGGTTTACATAGAAAAAAATCTCTGCAATAATAGCTAAAGATGAAGTACAAAGCTGTAGGGAGAATGAGAACAATCATATATTAAAACATTATTTAACCTCAAATTTTAAAAAATGTGCTACTACTACAGGAAAATATGGGAAGTACAATGAAATACAGAGTCCAAAATAGGATTAAGAGTATCTACAAATTAAGTGTATAATATAAATAGCATGTAAAGTAGCTGGGAAAATATGGATATTTTAATAAATAATGCTAGCACCCTTAAATACTCATTGTGAAAAGAACAAATCATATCTACCTCTCTACTCCATGCAGGAATAAATTCTAATACAAAATTAGGTCACAGTGGAATTTTCTTCAATAATTCATTAGTTTTTAACCTCTGACAATCAATCAATATAATTAAAATATTTTTGAAACAAAAAAATTTCAACATGACAAAATCAAATATTATTTAGTACAATAAAATTATTTTCTGATTTTAAAACAACCTTAAAAAACCAGTAATAATAACATAGATATTCCTCAATCTGACATAGAACATCTAACATCAAACTTAATTGTAAACTACAAAATGATTTCCTCCTGAAAACACTAATGACAAAAGTGTCTGTCTTCATCACTTCTACTGAATACTTTACTAGATGTCTCCAATATTGCAAACAGTCAAGGGGTCAAAGGTGGCATAGGAGGGAGTCAAATCAGAAAAGAAGAAGTAAAACCATCTGCAGAAAATCTAATAAATCCTTGAAACAGCTACCATAATTCATTCAATTAGAAACAAGTTTGAGGATATGATTTATGTACAAAAAGGAATTGCATTTTTAAATAACAATAATGAGCAAACAAAAATTGAAATTGAGAACAAATTGCTAGCATATCAATTAAGTAGGAAATATTTGGGGATATATCTGACAAATTATTAACTCTCTATCTGAAAGTCGAAGCTGCAAAACAATACTGTGAGATCTAACACGATGATGAGGTATAGTATGTCCCAATGTTGCAAATCTGATATCTTTTGTAGATAACTCTTTCCAAAATGAATTTTACATTCAACACAATAATTAATCAGCAAACTGTGTGCATGTAAAAGTCAACATTCTGATTCTAAGACTTTTATCAAAAAACAAAAACCTAAAAAGTTTATAATAACAGAAAAAAAGAAAAAAATTAGAAAACTAACAACACCCTGTTTTAAGACTTATTATAAAATTAGTGTAACAAGACAGTGTCATATTGACATTAAGATTAAGAAAGTGACAAATCCAATAGAACAGAGTCATATATATTTATTTATTTATGGACAAATTATTTCTGACAAAGAAGCAAAAGTAATTCAGTGGAAAAGAGGTTTTTTCAACAATTGTGGAATCAATTAGATTAAAATAAAGCAAAAAATTGGTGTTGATACACAATTTGCAATATGTACACAATATATCATATGCCTAAATATATAACAAAAAATCATGAAATTTCTAGAATGAAAGTTTTAAGAAATTTTTGTGATATTTATGCAAAACTGTCTTAGATATAAAACTGAAGGCATACTCATGACAGAAAATACATTGCTAAATTGGACTTCATTAAAATCAGGAGCTTTTGCTTTTCAAAAAATGAAAATAATCCACATGCAGGGCTAAAATATTTCAAATCAGTTAGTTATCTGATACTTGATATCCAGAATATACAAAGATCTTTCAAGGCAATGGTAAGAAAGAAAAATCTTTATAAAGAAACAAAGTATTTTAGCACACAATGTGTGTGAGCACCTGTGTGTGTGTGCATCTTTGTGTGTGTGTATATGTATGTGTGTTTATATTAGTAAAGATATTCAACATCATTAATCATCAGGCAAAAGCAAGCTAAATCACAGCAAAATACCACTATATATACATTATGAGAAATGAAAATCTGATAGAAAGATCAGATCAAATATTCCTGCAGCAATGGAGGAATTGACATTCTCATGAATTGTTGAAGAGAATGTAAGATGGGGCAGACACTTTAGAAGTCAGATTTTCAGTTTCTCAATAAATAAATAAATATCCACCTGAAGTATGACTAAGACTTTCCACTCATGTGTTTATGTAAGAAGAAAAGCATATAAACATATGTCCTCATGAAGACTCATGCCTAATTACATACTGAATTTTAATTCATTAAAACACCTAACTGGTCAACATTCAATGTCCATCACATGATAAAGATATATATGTATTATCACACATTCACACAATGGAATACTACCACAACAATAAAGATGAATGGTCTATTGATAATTGTAATATCATGTTAAAACTAAGACTAATTATACAGAGTAATCTCAACCTTGTACAACAGATTAATTTCTCCACAGTTTCATTCTTATATAATTCTTGAAAAATGAAAACTATAGTGGCAGAAAGGGTGAGAACTTAGGAGGAGAGTATTACCTAGGGGCACAAGGGAACATATGATTTGGTGTCTCTCTGCTATATTGCCTGTGATGATTTCATATGTGTATACACATGTCAACACTTTCTCATGTGCATTTTATATATCTGAAGTTTGTTCTGTGTCTGTTTTGCTGCAAAAATGCTATTTGTAAATAAGAAAAAATGGACATGGCTGAGATCTAGGCTTCATCTCAGTGCTTTCTAGCAAACACAGTTTTTAAGCAGTCACTCTTGTTTTTACAGGGAATATAAAGAACTGAGTGGGATGAATGGACAGAAATTCTACTCTGTAAGTCTCTCCACAGAATACATGTGGCTCTAGAAATGGATGTGCCCTTCCTGACAGCAGAGGCTGAAAAAGGAATAGCAGGGAACATAACTTGCATGGTTGAGATTGTTCAAAACCATCACTCAGTACTCTGCAAGACATTCCTACAAAAATTCAGGTATTAGACTGGCAAATGCAGTCTGGGAGTGGAGTAGGTGGGAATGAGGTGGAGAAGAGAATTAGTTGGACTGCTTTCTAGAAACATCTCCATGATCTCAGTACCCTGAGATTTCCAAGGGAAGTTTATCACTTAAGAAACTGCACTTTTGAAAGTGAAATCATCAGTTTCTATCCATTTTGCTAGGATAAATCTTCCTTCCATAAAATGGCCTCAATATCTTACCATATATTAGTTATTTATCCATTAATAATTTATTTTTACACTTTTATAACAGTTATTTTATTTAAGAACTTTATCTTTCAAATGAAAGATGCACAGCAGAACAAAGAAAGTAGGACAAGGATCTATGAAGGAGATTTCATTTAGCAAAGAACAGACTTATTCTGTGGACTTGTCCTATGCTTGAATGTTAGTATTATTTTCTTTCACAACCTAGCCTTATTTGACTTATTCTGAGTGTTTTATAGCTAGTTATGTGAGGAAGGAGGATATAAATGTAAATCTGCCCCAAATAGAAGAAAAGATCTCCCTTAGTTTTCCTCAGTAAGACAGGAGTTCCACACAAATTTAATTCAGGTACATTTTTTAAAAAATTAAACATCGCAAAGACTTATCAAGAATTTAAGGAATCATATTATCTTGGAATAGTTTACTCAAGGTGTGTGTGTGTGTGTTTGTGTGTGTGTACAAGTATGTGTGTGTGCATGTGTGTGTTTGCATAAGCTACAATAAAAGGATAACATCTATTACTGTGCTAGAGAAAGTGAGACCAGGGTATTAATTCAAAAAACAGAAAGGGAAGTTAGTTTTAAGCAAAATAAAGGGACAAACTATTGTCATGACCTTAAATTGTTCTGATACAAACTCTAGTGTGGGCCATACCTTTTCCTCATGACTTTTCTCAATACCTTCTTTACATCCTTATTCCTCAAAGTATAGATCAAGGGATTCAGCATGGGAATTATTGTGGTATAGAACACAGATGCTGCCTTCTTCTGGGCCATGTTGTTACTAGATGTTGGCTTAAAGTACATAAATATCATAGATCCATAGAAGAGCCCAACAGCCATAACATGAGAACCACATGTACTAAACGTTTTGGATCTGCCTTCAGATGAGGGTATTTGAAGAATGGTGGCGAGTATGAAGGCATAAGAGATGGTGATGGGCACAGCTGTTGCTACCATGTTGAATCCACCTACAAATATGAACAGCAGCTTATTGAGGTAGGTGTTGGTGCAGGACAGCTCCAGGAGAGGAAGTATGTCACAAAAATACTGATGGATGACATTGTCCCTACAGAAGGAAAGCCTGACCATAGAAGCAGTATGGGCCTCAGCTCCAAAAGTTGCAATGACATAGACTCCTGCCACCAGTACATTGCATGCCTTTTGGGACATGGTGACATTGTACAGCAGTGGTTTACAGATAGCTACATATCTATCATAGGCCATAGCAGTCAGCATATAGCACTCAGCAATAGCAAAAACACAAAAGAAAAAAAGCTGTGTCATGCACCCAGAATAGGAGATAATATTTTGCTCCCACATGAAGTTTCTCAGCATCTTGGGGGTAACAACTGAAGAATAAAACAGATCTAAGAATGACAAATTACTCAGGTAAAAGTACATGGGAGATTTCAGGTTAGTACTGAAAGTGATTAGGAGGATCATACCCAGGTTTCCCACTATCGTGACTCCATAGATGACTAGAAACAAGAAGAATAGTGGTAGCTGGAGTTCTGGATGAGCTGTTAATCCCTCGAGGACAAATTCAGTCATGGTAGAATAATTGTATCTGGCCATTCCCTCTAGGAAAGAGAATGTGAACCTAAGAAAAGGAAAAATCAAAAAGTTAGAAAGCGATGTTCCTGGGGTGGGTAATTCTCTTATTACTGGTCTGAAAGAAGGACAGAAAACCGTATCATCAACTGAAACAGTTTAATGATTGTCAGTAATAAGTGGAGGAAATATGTTTTTATGTTAGTATTGAGTTTTACTCAAGGACCATTGGAATGTATGCAGAAACAAAGGATAACACAATATGACCATTAGAATAATTGGAAACTATCTGAATAGGTCCATACCACTTTTGTACTCTGAGACATGATAGTGGTTTCTCAAACAAATGGGAGGAGGAACTTTACCTCAGAGTGCTAGAATTCTGCACGATACTGACATCAGGGTTTTATTAAGAGTTAGGAAAGTAATTTCAAGATCTTTTATGTGCATTATATCACAGAACAAACAAGATCTGGGGGGAAATGCATATCTTAGAGTCAGGCTTCAAAGTCAGACAGTGAGCACAGCAGCCTCAATATTCCAAGTTAAGGGGTTTCAAACTTCTTCCTTGAATTCTGGGATTCAAAAGAGTGATTACTTCACCTTATGATTGTACTTCTAGAAAAAAATTTGGGGATATATTTGGGGGGTATATAGAACATCCGTGAAATAAGCAAGCAGGGGAAAAGATAGCTTTCCTTGCACTGCAATAAGAACACATTTCTTCCAATTTTACTAACATTTGGTTAACTAATATCCACATATTTTATCTGAGTACTTCTGGGGGACATGAATTTGTAATTATCCCTCAGAAACTATATTTTACAGTGAATGCTTTAGGAAAATGTTGCTCACTTACCTGATTGCTATAATGGGTAAGAGAATTATTGCTCCTGTTTGATTTACTTTTTCTCTCTTATGAGACAAAATTTCAAAAGTAGCTTCATGGAAAATATTACCCATTCAGTTCTTTGCTGATCTTTTTGAGAGTGTGATTTATCACTATTGAATAATCAAAGGAAACTATTGAAAATTAAGAAGAAATAATGCTCCTCTGATAATCTAAAGTCTACTTTTCATTCTCCTTTCTCACATAATCACTGTGTGACTGTGAAAAAAGTCACTTCATCTTTCCTTTTCTGAGAAAGGATTAGGGTTGATGATTCCAAGGTGTACTGTAGCTCTAAGATTTAATGAGACTGGATGAACTCATTAAAGAAGATACCCTTCAATATCTTCAGTAGTCCCTCTCAGCAAGGGAATAGCTCAACTCATTGTTAATAGGTTTTTGACTGCCAAGGAGATGGAAAAGTAAAATATTCTCCAAAGGCCATAAAACTCAGGAGAGACTGTCAGAGGTAAAATTCTCCCAAGAAAAAAAAAACATAATTAATAACACACACAAAGAATAGTGACATTTCCAATGTACAAAATTAAATTTTTGACCTTCCTTTTTGGAATAAGTAATTTTGTGCAAAAGATGCAAATGGCTCACATCCAAGATGACTGTAAGATTTACACAAACAGTTCTTACTAACTTCAGTGAGTAAAATACTTTGTCTTCATCTCTGAGCTCTGAAAACATCATATTAATTCCAGCTTTTATTTTTTAGCTCTTTATGTTACAAATGTGGTCAAATAGGATTTATTCACCTGAAATAGTGAATGAATATGCTAGTAGTAGCAATGGTGATGCAGTTGTATTATAATAGGCATTCTGTGATTTAAATGAGCATTCCATTTTATGTTTTTATTTCTACAAAAAACTTTGAGATATATTACAGACATATTATGGTTAACCAGCACAATATAGATGGATAAGATTCAATATTATCTGATTTCAAGATAATTATAAGACTACAGTAAAAGATTGTGTAATCAAGTGGATCAGTGGAGTCAAATAGAGTAATCAAATAGATCAATGGAACACATGAAAAATGGAACCGAATAAAGAATACAGACAAAAATACACAACAATACCATGTATATAAATGTATATCAGGTATATAGCTGGCAGATGACTACATGAAAAGATGTTCAACAAATCTCATGAAATTTCAAATTAAAACAATAGAAAACCACCCCAAACTACTAAAGTAGCTGACATTCAAAGGACTTAGAGCACCAAACATGAGGATATAAAACAACAGGCACTCTTTCTTTCATCCTTAACAGGAGAATGAAAGGGTACAGCCACTTCTGATGACAGTGTAGCAAGTTTAACAAAACCAAGTATAGTCTTACCATGAGTGAATAATGGAGCTTCTTGGTATTTACCAAAGTTAAAAACTGATGTATATAGGAAAAAATGTATGTCTGAAGCAGTCTTTTTCATTATTACCAAGATCAAGCATTGGAAGCAAGAATTAAAAGGCAACTGAATGAACAAATCACAGTATATCCATACAATAACAATTAATTTTTCAAAAATAAGCTACCAAACCACAGAAAAACCATGAAGAAAACAAAGTCATTATTCATGAAAAAGTTAGTTTGAGGAAAAAACATTACTGATTTAAAATGTATTACTTTTTGGGAAAAATTTAAAGCTATATTGTAAGTTTAGGCCTAGCCTAGGACACTTAGTAAGACCTTGTCTCAAAATAAAAAGTTTTTAAAAGGCCTGCTGATGTATCACACTGAGAAGGCCCTAGGTTCATCCCTCAATGCCGGAAAAATTAAAAAGAAAAAAATTATGCAATGCATTAAAATATAATCAATTGCTAGGGGATTGGGTGGAGGAAAGATGGATGGACAGATAGGTGGAACACAATGGAAATTCTTAAGACAATGAGAATAGTTTTCATAATACTGTTGGTGGTGGATCCATTGCATTATACACTTGTCAAAACCAGTAGAATATGTGACACAAAGAGTGCACCCCAATTCAAATGACAGACTTCAGTTGATCGTAATGTCAAAGTACTGCTTCAGTTTTAACAAATATACTGCATTAATGGAAAATAATGATAGGGAAACTGTTCTGTAGCTTGGAATTGAGAAGGGATTTATGAGAACTGTTTACTTTCTGCTCAATTTTTCTGTAAACCTAAAACTCTGCAATAATACAATTCAGTTTGCCCCCCCTCTTGTGTGTGTGTGTCCATGAATCTCAGTCTCTCTCTCTCACTCTCTCTCTCTCTCTGCTTTGGATATCTTTTTGCTTCATTTTTCCAG